AGACGTTTATTGTCTATAAATTTATATATAAATTTATACGAAGACATTACCCGACAAATGATCTCAATATTTCATTATTTGTTTTGTTTTTTTGTTCAACAATTACTTTGAGGAAAATGTATTTTTTTCATACATATTGTGCGCGCAATTTATAACATAATACAGTATATAATGTATATCTATTTATATATCATAATATACAGTATATCTATTAATTTTCAGTCTTTTTTCAAACTATAAACCATATAATCGTAAAATACAATTATTTTTAACGTCTTTTTTGCGTTACATTAGTTAATGAATATCTCAATACAAGTCATTCAGGTCTATATAAAATTGCCATTTAATATGAAATTTTATTACTATTTTTTTTGGTGGTAATTCGTGTAATATTCTATGCAATAGAGTTATACGCAAATGATATTTTATTTTATTATATTTTATATTATATTTTATTTTATTTTATATACATAAATATACTGTATATATATATATATATATATATAATATACATCAGTATTTGCCTTTTGGTGAACACATATAAATGTTTCGGTACACACATTATTTGGCAATTTATTTATACATTTTAAGAGATACATAGATACCACACATGATATAACATGAATCTCTTTTTACTAACGTTTGAAAATTGCATACATAAACAAAATCAAAAGAGACACATACATAGCCAACACACACACACACACACACACACACACACACACACACACACACACACACACACACACACACACACACACACACATACATACAAAATGTTACTTTTTATTATATTTTTTAAACATAAAATTTATGTATGCATTTTCTAGTATAAATTTATATATATATATATAATATAATATAGTATATATAACTTTTATAATTTTTTTGTTAGTTTTTTAGCTTTCACGCACAAAGCAAAAAAATATACTGTATATACATATAAACATTATTACATAACATTTATCTATGTATATGTATGTATGTGTGATCTTTTGTATATACGCTTTAATGTTATTTATTGTTGCCATTATTTTTCATTATTACATAAGAGTATATGTAAAGTATGTATAAATGTGTATATATTTATTATTAGTTTTTTGTCTATACAATTTAAATAATATTTTTATTTTAATTTTTGTTTTGTTTTGTTTTTTCTATTATTGTTTTTCATTTTTGTTTCAGTGTTTTATTAACTATTCACTCACTATATACTAGAAAGTACTTAAAAAATAAAGTGTCTGTACTCAGCAAAAAAAACAACAACAGTAGGAACTGTATGTTAGGAAACTCATACAACTCGAGAAATAAAAATAAAAACAGAGAAAAATTCACAAAATAACATATATTACATATTATTACATAACATAAAATTAAAATTGTCTCCTATTTTATTGTTATTATTGTTATTAATATCATTTAAAGGTCTATCTGTCAACTATGGAAATACTTAAAAATATATAATATAATACATATTTATATATATATTTGTATAAAAATTGTTAGCATTAGGGAAAATATACTGACATTAGGAATCTATATACAGTATATAATGTCATAATGTAATGTATTTTATACAATATAAATATACAATACATTATGACATTATTAATAATGACATTTTTGAAAAACCATTAAAATAATGAATTAAAAATATTATTATTATTATTATTATTAATACAAGAAAAAACTACCAACAATAACAAAGACAAAAAACAGTGAAAATAATATAATTTATATGTAAGGTATACACTGTTATTAAAACAATTAACTTTCTATAACTATCTACACAAACATATTGTTAATGTTTTAGTTTTTTCCTTAGAGGTAATATAAATTTATTTTATATACACACAAACAGATAATTTATATGCAAATATATTATCAATTTGTATTACTCCAGTATATTATATATTTAATAATTACTACTTTGGCTGCGAATTAATTGTGAAAAAAAATGATAAACGAGTGCCAAAGGGTAGCACTTTTGGCTTCAATTCATGTCTACCCCTCTATTACCCCCTCCAACCCCTGTCTTGTGTTATAAGCTATAAACACAATGGTGTGTCAAAACAAAAGACAGGCCAACAAAATATATAGACATTTAATGATTGTTGAGATCTTTTTTTCTTATTTTATTTTCCTTTAATTATTTATTATTTACTATTATTTCTCTCTTTCTTTCACTCACTCTGGTATGGCATTTGAAACTTTTTTTTTGAAAATTTTCATATTATATAAGCCATACATTCATTCAAATGATATATACATAGACTTAATGATAGAGATTTCAGGAGTCAATTCAACAATTTTTTTCACTCAAAAGTCAAAAGAAAGAGTGAAATTTTACTTAAAGGCATACATTATTGAGTGTTGTTGTTGTTGTTATGCAATCTCTCTCTCACTTTGATAGTGTCTATACTATTAGTGAATAATAGAGGAAAACCACTCATCCAGGAGTCGTGTCAACAATTTGGCAGATAATTGTTATATATTATACCCAAAGAGATATGACTTCAAGAAATACACAATTTATGAGTTGTATATATACTGTACAGTATCTAAAGTATTACATACTATAGTATTACCAGTTCATTGTATACATAATCCAGTTGAGAGTTAGTTAATGAAAGATAGATATATTATGATATAAATAATATAATAATATAAAATAAAAACAATGTATAACTTATACTGTATTAAATACTCTGTTGTTTGATGTTATATATATTTATAATGTATGTGCATATATTTAGTTAATAGTTTACTGTATATACAATATATATATAAATTTTATTATTTATCAAATTACTGATAAAGCAGGTGAATTTATATATCACTTTTCCCAATAGCAATATAATAGCGTTGTAATATTTATTATTTAAATAATAATAATAATAATAATAATAATAATAATAATAATAATAATAATAATAATAATAGTACAGTATATGTTTTTTTATCATTTATTTTTGTTTAAAATAATAACATTATCTTTAATATATCGAAAGAGTAGCTAATTTTGGGACTGAAATTTCATGATTACCTGAAAAAAAGATAGCTTTCAATAGATAATGAAAACTGTGAGTGACTTTTATTCGCACGAAATCTAATTTTTGTAGTGAATATTATATAACAAACTTTTTTTTATTGTTGTTTTATTTTGGATATTAATTATAGGGAGAAACACACACACGTATCAAATAAATAAAACACATTATTTAATAAAAGCAAGAAAATAAAATAAAAACATTTTCCATGTATTTGTATGTTAATATTTTACGTGAAAATAATGGATAATAATTGTATTTATTATTGTTATTAGTATTAATTTTTTTTGTGAACAAATTATACGACTTATACGACATTAAATTATTGTATATTTATATATATATATATTTATATGTAAACTTCTGCCTCTCTCACGATATTTAACATTCAATTTTCAATTGAAAAACAGTTATATAATAGAGATGCTTATCATTAGGTCGGATCTCTCTCTCTCTTCCTTTACTCAATGAGTGTGCGGAACGTGTTATGTATGACTCGGTGCTTATGAATCAAATGTCTTTCCCCTCCACTCTCTCTCTCTCTCTCTCTCTCTCTCTCTCTCTCTCTCTCTCTCTCTCTCTTCCTCTTCTATCAGAGAGTGAGGATAATTGTTTGGCTTTCATTCACACTAAATATATTTCAACTAACTTTTTTGATAATAGTATGACTCTGAATGACTAAACCCCACAAAAGTTTTCCCAATACTGTCGTTGCCTTTATTTTTGTGTGGATTATTCAATTGACTCATTCAGTCGGCAATACCCACACATATACCACCCGAAACACCACACATAGAGACAACCGAATCTCTTCAGTGATATATGCAATATATATACGGTATATATATATATAATATTAATCAGAAAGAAAGTTAAGCAAACTTTTTATTTTTATTTTGGGGCACAAACTAAACTATATATCAAATAATGGCATAACATTTTGATTGTATTGTATTGGGAATCCATGTCTTTTCTCTTTTATATATATTTTTGACTAAAAAAGTCGTGCGAAAAGTAATTGACGGGAAAACTAAACACACATTTGAATTGTATTATCAATACACTACTATTACTACTCATACAGGATATTGAAGTCGCCTTTTAAAGTGATTTACATTAACTAACTTTTACTCTGATATTACTTTCACTAAAATTCTAGCTATTTCTATGTGTGTGTATATATACACTATATAATATATACATATAGTATATAGTATATAGTATATATAAACAGTGACTTATTTTGTAATATATTGTTGTTTTTACTGTACTGTAGTTTATATATATATATATTGTATGTGAATGTGTTGTCGGTGTTGGTGGTAATGGTGTGAATAAAATTGGAATTGTTGTATATATTAGTGTATAAAATGTTTGGGTATGAGTGGGCAGTTGTCGATGTGTTGGTCCGTATATATATACACACACTTTGAGGGGCTATTGCTGTACTTGAAAAGTACTTCAGAGCCCAACTATATTATGGTATATATAACCCAAACATCCCGATAATAATGTGATTCATGTTTGTATATATTCTGATAAAATTTGATGCAAATATTTGCAGAAACACAACGTCTCTCTCTCTCTCTCTCTCTCTCTCACACACACACACACACACACACACACACTCACCCTCTCAATCAATAACATGTTTATCCCAATAACCATATGTAGGGTAAAGACCAGTTCACTAGTAAATTTATTTCATATATTAAAAAAAACATTGCACTAAATATTTCTTAATTATGTGTTTAATCTGTAATTTTCAAGTTTACAGTTAATTATAATAATAATTTTTTTTGTTGATAAAAACTACACAACAATTTATTAACAAAACACGAATTGATTTTTTTTAAATGTTATAAATAAATAATAAATATAATAATAGATTTTAATATATATATAATTTATATTAAATGTGTTTTTAATTGATATAATCACTAATAATAGGGTAATAACTGGTTCGGGAAGCAATTCGAGCACTATATTCAACCCTTCAAGCAATGGTTCGGAGGGATCGGACTTGAACTCCATAAGCGATTCGGGATCGATATCATCGTTGCCGTCGACACCGGTCAACGGCATGAATGGCTTGAATGGATCTAATGGTAACTTTTTTAGCGACAACATGTCCGAGTGCTCGGCCACACCGCCATCGAGTGCCTCATCGAGCCGTAGGGGCAGTCGTCAGGAGGACACCAAAAATCGTTTGTTTGGCGAAGCAGGTGTTGAGTCGCCCCGTCGTCGTGTTGTCGACCGCATGAAGTCCAACATATTTAGCGAAACTCCGGCCACTAATGGATCGGCCGCTTTGGTCCGTTCGGCTTCTGTCAAAAAGTACGACCACGTCATCCGTCGCAATCCAATCACTGGCGAAGTCTATGACGAAGCGAAACCAGCGAACGGTCACAATGGTGTCAACGGCAGAATTAATGGCGTCAACGGCAACGGTTCCACATCATTGCCGGCCACACCCGTGAAGGTCCGTCAGCCACCCGGCGGCAAATGTTCCGGCATTTTCTAAGATGCCGTCCACTCCTAACAACCAACACCACCACAGCACCTACTAATACTATCGCTATAATTAGGGTCAACCCTAAAGGGTCTAACCTTTTTTCTACAAAAAAATATATAATTATTATTACAGTTTAGATACTGACCAAACATTTTTATTATTATTAAATCATCCGATTTATTAATGGATTGATTACACACACATTTAGTTGGGTGTGTAGGTGTGAGTGTGTAATGTGTGTCTAAATGTGTGAGTGAGTGTGTGTGTGTGTAATGGCTTATTCAAAGTTATTTTCAAACTAAAAACTAATAATAATAATAACTTTTTTGCTTATATTTTGCTTACGATCATAGTATTTGATACAAATGTAATTGATGATATTTTAAAAAAAAAGTTTTTTGATGATAATGCTAATTTTACAATTTTTTACATATATGCTCTTTTATATGATTTTATATATATGATTGATAACATTTTTTATTGTATTAATGCTTAATATTTGATAAATTTGATATATAAATATATTACACAATTATAATTACTAAAAAACTAGTATAAAAATAATATAATTATTATACATACACAAACACATAATATTATTATTTAATTTATAAAATACATAAATTTTATATGTTTTTAACTCTAGTATTAGAATATAATAATATTTATTATTATCTACTATTACTATTGATATAATAACAATTATTTTCTCCTAAATTTTATTAAAAAAAACAATTGTGTAAAAAATCGCTTTTTAAACATTATTTTACACAATGATGTTTTTCCTGTAATTTAATTTACATTATATAAATTTTTAATAATAATTATTATTATTATAAATATAATATATATAAATATATATATATAGAATTATTAACCAGACACAATTGTTTGATTTTGTAACTTTATTATATAATTTGTCTATAAAAAAATATATAAATGTTTTTAAAATATAGATATACTATATGTAGTTTTTTTGTAATAGAAAAATCAACTATATCTTGATCATTATTACTATTATAATTTTTACTTTATATTATTATTATTATTAATCAGAAGTTATTGTATACAAATCTTTTATTATTATTATTATATATTATTATATTTAAAAACGTAAAGTTTTTTAGTTATCCTAATTATATATATATAAAAAACTCATGTAATCTTTTTACAATTTTTTTCAAATAAATTATAAAATTAAAAAAACCATTGCTTAATACATTTATTATACATAATAATAATAATAATAATTTTCTTAATTATAACTTATGAAATTCAATGAGCTTTTCGTCGAAATTTTAATAATAATAATAATAAAATTGATTTATATTGCAAACAAAGTTCAATAATGTGTGTTAAAGTCAATGATCCAATAATATAAAAAAGTGCACACATTTTAAAAATTATTTGGTTTTGGAGGACAGTTATTAATGAGTTGGACGCCCATATATTTTGAGAGGTTAGCTCCTGAAAATATGGTAAGTCATTTATTGTCAAATTTATAGTCGAAAAATACTTTTGCCAAACATTGCATTTACAGATAAACATAATATTATAACGTTATATAATACTGTATAGAAATACTGTATGATTCACACATACGACGAGGACTTGGATATATAAAAATAGAGTCAAACTATAAACTGTATATTAGACTAAAGCCCTGCAAACCTTGTAATCCCAATCCCCCACCAAAAACTTTGTGGCACTTAAATTGTTTGCCAAATATAAAACCAAATATTATATCTAATGGTAAACCAGAATCTCTCCTACAGTTTGCTCCTCTCAAACAAAACTCATGGATGTTATGACTTATGAGTTAATGTTATCATCAAAAATGATGATCAAAGTGCCAAAACTGATGAGACATTTATTTATTTTTATTATATATTTAACACAATTTTTTCTTACTCTCATTTTTTTCTGGTTGACTGCCAATTATATTTTCATTCATATTTTAGTTTTGCTATATTTATGCAAAAATTAAAAATTAATCCAAGATTTTTGTCAGTCTGTTATAATTAGGTTTATATTGCTCTTTATCTCTCTCTCTCTCTCTCTCTCTCTCTCTCTCTCTCTCTCTCTCTCTCTCTCTCTCTCTCTCTCTCTCTCTCTCTCTTACTCACTCACTCACTCATTCAAACCCTAATATCTAATTTAGTCAGTGATCTGATATTAACTTTTAAACCCTATATCTCTCTCTTTCAGTCTCTTCATTAGCATTGAACGACTCGTGTGTTGTTTGCGTGTAAAATGTTATTCACTTCAATCACACAATAAAAGTTGTGATTCACAGCAATATTATTGTATTATATATAATATATTTTGTTTAATGTCGTTGTCGTCGTTGTAGTCGATGTCAGGGAGTTGTCGACAGTGTCTAACCCATCAAATAAAACAAAAAAACAATATTATAAAATGAATCAAATGTTTGTTCATTAAAATCTAAAATATATAAATATAAGTATTTTTCCAGAATTTATGAACTTTTTATTTTAGACACATTTTATTGTAATTATTTATTTTAATGTCTTCTGAATACAAAAAAAAAGAAGAAATTTTATTATACAAAGTATATAATAAAATAATAATAAAATTAATTCAATAATAAAAAACATTTCCTATAAAAATACATAATTTTTAATTTGGAAAAATAAGACATCCCTTTTATTCATCCCTTATTTTTTTGTGTGTAAATGCCTTTAATATAATTAACTCTTATTATTATTTTTGTTTCTCTATACAAGAAAAAATGTTAATAAAAATTTAACTGAAAAAAACAAAATATATATATATATATATAATATAAGATACATATACACTGTATAGACAGTGATAAAAATAACACCACACACATACAGTACATACACATTTAAATATACACATAAATTATTATCAAACATTAGGGCAAAACTAATTTATGATAGATTGTGAATAAAATAGACAGACATATGATGTTTATGTATTGTGGGGCTAAACCCCAAATGCTGGTGGTGTGTCTCTCRGATACAGCCCAGGTATGGATATATTTATCTGTTTAATGTATATACATATGACAGGTAGATACAGGCGCTCAGAGAATAACATCAATAAATGGTATACATATAATTTCTAGGTGTAGTTCCCCTTATATAATATTTGGTCTCTCACTTATATCAATGATGTGTAGTATTTGTTTGATGGTTGTATGTAAACGACATTTTTAACTATTTATATTTACATTTATAACTATCTTTATTTTTTTTTGCTTACTTTTTGTTGTGTTGTTATATTTGATACATATTCTCAAAGAATTGTACACAAAAATGAATGAAGAAATTCCTACTTTATTTCAAGCCATTGACGCCCACCATCTTATGGATTGCTCTCTCTCTCTCTCTCTCTCTCTCTCTCTCTCTCTCTCTCTCTTTATGATTAGACTATAAATATGTTTCAAGTTATGTGTTATGTAATATTGAAGAGAGAGAGAGAGAGAGAGAGAGAGAGAGAGAGAGAGAGAGAGAGCACTGGCAGCCAAAACCAAATCATTTAGGGGTTGATGATCTTAATTTGGGTACTCCTATGCCTATCCAGTTGTCTTTCATAGTGCCATTCCCTTCCCTTTACCTCATAGTTATGAATTGTGTGCTCATAATAATAGCTTAACATATAGTTTCTCTCTCTCTCTCTCTCTCTCTCTCTCTCTCTCTCTCTCTCTCTCTCTCTCTCTCTCTCAATGCCTAAATTGGTTTCAATAAATTGCTAGAAATGAAGTTCTTCTTAGATTACATCCCTTTCCCTTTTTCTTGTGTTCAAACAATTTATTTCTTCAAATACAACAAACTTTCTTTTTCTAAAACAGTATTTTATTTTGCATAGAGTTATCTAATTAATGTTTTTTAACACATTTATTCTTATATATTATATATATATTTCTATGCAAACAAGTGATGTACAGTAAATACAGTAATAATAATAATACTGTAAAAATTAGGGGACAATAAAATACATTGTTATCACTAAAATGGAAAGTAAACACCAATTTGTAAATACATAATATTTGCTAAACTTTTTTGTCAAAGGGTTGAATTGTGTATTTTTCTTGTACTATAAATATTGTTTAATAAGAGAGAGAGAGAGAGAGAGAGAGAGAGAGAGAGAGAGAGAGAGAGAGAGAGAGAGAGAGAGTAAACAAAATGTTTGCTCATTTGTAATGTTTGTTATTTCAGACAATGTTTGTGTGAATAATATTTTAATAATAAATTATTTTAGTTATTTACATATAAAATTAGGCTTAAATTTTTAGTTTAAAAACTATTGTAATTGTTGTTGATTTTTAATTTATAAATACCAGAAATAATCAAAATTATTATTTAATTTAAATGTTATTTAATTAATTTCTAACCAACAATAAAATGTGTAAAACAAACAGTAAAAATCCATAAAAATTGACAAAAAAAATTTGGTATTTAGAGATATATTGGTAAATAACTAATAAATAGGGTTTGTTTTAAACTATGTTTTCTATAAACACAAAAAAACGACAACTGATTTGTTTAATTATTGTACAACAAGTGATAACCTCTTTGAAAATTTTTCTAACATTTCTCTAAATACAATACCCGATCCTAATTTGGTTCAAACATGTGTACACTACTGTATGTGTGTGTGTGTGTGTGTGTGTGCTTAACAATCATTAGCACAAAGATACCACTATTATCACTACTACTACTACTACTACTACTACTACTATTACTATTACTACTACTGGTATCGATCTACCTGTACTACCGATCCTCTTTCGGCATACAATCACATATGGGTTGTAAAACTAATATAAAAAAAGTTGTGTCCTAACTGTTTATGAAATGAGTTTTTTAAGATATATATATATATAATATAAGCCCTTATTTTTCACCCCTCTCTTAGAGAACCTTTTAGGTGAACACCGCTTACTGTGAGCCCAACCGGTCGTTAATCAATCAAATTGTTGAATAATTTTTCGGTTCACACAAAAACTAAAAAGGATTTCTTATTTCTTATATTTAATATATATATATAGATATTTTATTATAGATTATATATATATATACTATTTTCAGTTCACCGAAATATAAAAAATAACATTTTTGTGGCAATAAAAACATTATTTATAAATTTATATCTATCTGTCTATAAGTGTTTTGTCAGTCAACATAATTATTGATTTGAAAATCCGTTTATAATTTAAATCAATATATAATTATTACTTTTTTCTTATTTCTCTCTCTCTCTCTCTCTCTCTCTCTTCTTTCTTTTTTTTCTTTCAATCCTTCATAACATTATACAGTAGTTGTCATTCAATATTTTGTGAACACTTTTATGGTTTGAAGATATAACTAAAATTAAAAAATCTTATATAGATTTTTATTATTATTATTATTTTA